AGTCGACTAATCGAATCACACGTTAATTAAATATAAAACATAGAGCTTATGATTAGGAAAAACACCTATCAGTAGACATGGCCAAGATGATCTGCTGCAGTCCAAACCTCTCCACTGTCTGCTCAGGATGGGAGACTGTGACGAAGTGATTCAACACAATCTGCTGGTTTCTTCTTTAGATTGTTCTTTTTTCATGTACAGTGCCCTGAGACAACGTATGTTGTGACTTGGCGCAAAATAAATAAACTGAATTGAATTGAATTCTTTTTTGTCACTATACATGGAAACAGAGTGCAGTTTTTACAGTTCCTACACATTTCCCATTTAAAAACTCCAAAATGAGTTTGACATGTGTMCTAGGAGCCATGTTGTCAGGGSCTTCATGCCCCGGTAGGGTCACCCAAGGCAAACAGGTCCTAGGTGAGGGATCAGACAAAGTGCCGCCCAAAGAGTGGGCACAGGTTACACTTATTGCCCGCCATCTTGGTGCCCATACATTGGGGTTCACCCTGGTGAATGAGAGGATAACCTCCCTTCGCCTACAGGTGGGGGGCAGGTCCTGACTGTTGTTTGTGCCTATGYGCCTAACAGCAGCTCAGATTACCCACCCATTTTGGAGTCCATGGAAGGGGTGCTGGAGAGCGCTCCTAACATGGACTCCCTCGTTCTCATTCTGCTGGGGGACTTCAGCTCTCACGTGTGCAATGACAGTGAGATCTGGAGGGGTGTGGTTGGGAGGAAGATACCCCCCGCCGACCTCAACTGGAGTGGTGTTTTGTTATTGGACTTATGTGTTTATCATGGATTGTCCATAATGAACACCATGTTCAAGCATAAGGGTGTTCATATGCAGCAGTTTATTGATTTATTAATTTATTTTWAAATATTTGACTCTTGCATTATTTATGTTTATATAGGCAGCAGGTAGAGGTCATGTAATTTTCTTTAGCTTGTTTAATTTTGCAAGTTTGTGTTGTCACATATGACTAAAATGCTATGTTTAGTGCTGTGTCAATTTCTTTGTTCATGGTATTAAATGAAATTAGGTGGCTTATTGCCCTGCTACCATGTCACTTCCATTTTGTTGGCTAAGTGATSGCTAAGTAATAATTTGTTTTCAAGAAATGAGTTTTACTGAACATTTCATTTTCAGTGTTGCCATTTGGTATTAAAAGATCTGACTACTTACCCTGYAGATGTTGGAGCGTAATTGTGTCAACTTAACCAGAGTCTGGCAGCTAAAACTTTAGAATTTGCTTTTAGTAAATACTCGTTTAAAGCACTAAAGTCAGTCCCCTGGTGCTGTACTGTGGTAGTTACTTATTGTGTGTTTTTAGCCTCTAAGGAGAGGTATGATTGAATGCAAGAAGATAAATACACCTTTCCCCCTCACGTCTGAGATAGTGATTACGCCCTTGCTTTGAGTCAGTTTGTCAAATTGTTTTTAGTCCCTTTAAAAGCAGGGTGGGTTAAAAAATTTAACTCCTAAACCATTCATCCAATTCTACTGTGGATACCATCAAATGAAAGATGAAAGTCTAGACTTTATGTCCATGTCTGGGACGGGTGGATAGGGGAGTCGTCCTGGAACCGGAAGGTCACCGGTTCAATCCCCAGTTCCAGCTGTCTCAGTTGTTCTGTCCTTGGGGAAGATACTTAAGCCCTAATCCCTCTAACGCAGAGGTTCTCAAAATGGGGTCCCAAGACCCCAGGGGTCCGTGAGTCATTTTTTGGGGGGTCCTCAAAAAAATTCAAGAAATTGTTCAATGCATATGGGGAATAATGCACTAGTAAAACAAACATACCAAACCAAACAAAAATACTATTACCATGGCATTTAGAGGTTAAAAAAACAGTAAACTATTTTGCATTAACAGCATGGGGTTAGTTAAGGGGGATCCCTGGAATCTTTTTGTTTTTGTAAGGGGTCCCCAGACACAAAAAGTTTGAGAACCCCTGGTCTAACATGTGTCCCATCAGGGTATGAATGTGATTGGCTCTGATTAGTCTCCATAGTTGAGTGTACAGGTTAGCTTTGTAGGAGATCTGGTAGAGTGCTGTGTGAATGGGTTAATAAGGACACWGATTGTAGTGTGAAGTGCTTTGAGTGTCCTGGTTGGGTAGAAAGGCRCTATATAAGTACAGTCCATTTACCATTTATGTCTATTGTAAAAGTAAAACTTGAATATGTTTCAACAAACAAGTAAAAAAAATACAATAGCTGGCTTCTTTAGAATAGATTTTTTGTGTCGTGAAACATTTATTTATATAGCGCCAAGTCACTACTAACTGAACAACTTTGTGTCATTGTCCACAGCGATACCTACCTACCTACCTACCTACCTACCTACCTACCTACCTACCTACCTACCTACCTACCTACCTACCTACCTACCTACCTACCTAC